TGTGTGTGTGTGTGTGTGTGTGTGTGTGCGTGTGAGGTGTGACGTTGTGCTTAATGTCTCTATGAAGTTACAGCACACTGTACAGGTCTGTACATAGTTACAGCACCGGAAACTAAACGGGTCAACGACAACTTAACAATTGCAACTGGGTTGTCAAATGTCATAACGAAAAGGTTGATGAATAGCGCAACCGAACAGAAACTTTAAACAGAAGAAAACCGCTTTATTTTACCACTAAAAGAAAACTGCTAATCAAGACTCCCAATCAAAAATTCTTCCTATGAAAATTGCCTCCTTTTTGTCATTCTTTACTTTACTACTAAAAAGTTGCTAATCAAGAAGCTTAATCAAAAAATTTTCGAACTCACTCGTATTTTGTCTTTCGTTAAAATGTGCTTTTCATTCAATAGAAAGAGCGCAGAAAGTCCCTTTCTTATGTCATAATGAACATAAACTGTGTTTACCATATTAAACAACAGCAGCCTGACTGTCTAGTACTGCTCTGTTGGTCTCTTTTACATTTGTCTTTGGTCAGGTGTTGACATTTGTTCGTTATATCGGGGTATCTGTAAACGTTTGAGCTTCTGAATTATGTTCGTTATGACGAGGATTTCGTTATATCGAGGTTCTGTAGCATACATTTTACTGTAACTTTAGTCTGTAGTATCGTTCATCATATTAAGAACTTCGTTATACAGAAGTTCGTTAAATCGAGGTTCCAAGAAATGGATAGATGTTCTTATCTTCTCGGATAAGTACGAATAAACAGTAGGCCCCGTCTTTTGGCAGGGCTAYGGGTAGGAGACATTAATTCCCCACGCACGAGATTACTGTGCGGTGGATGTCCTCCCCTAGGTGGGATGGGTGGGTGTTGGCTCTGACAAGCTCCTATGGGGAGTGGTCAATTAACCTATGTATGTATGTATGTATGTATGTATGTATGTATGTATGTATGTATGTTTGTATGTATGTATGTATGTATGTATGTATGTATGTATGTACAAGTCCACCGTAATTGTTTTCAAAAGTTGCCTAAATTGCTTCTCAAAACACGCGATAGTTATCCTTAATTCTCCTTGGCCCATGCGATTACTTATATTACAATACAGAAATAAAGACAAACAGAATAAAACGATGATAGATACCTAAATGAGACCAAGATAATTACTTACCTTTTGGATAATTAAAGAGTAGGCCCACCAAATTGTCTGAATGAGGAACGGAGACAACCTTATAGATGTAGTGAAAGTCAAATTAACCGCCATAATTAGACTTTTCAGAGAGAGGTGCGACTCTTTAGTATGGACCAATGCTGCTTTCAAGATAAGGAGGGTGTGAATGAAGG